CACAAACACATCTTGTTTCAGGTTTATTTTGTTCAGTCTCATATTTTTTTACCTCTCGTGCAATAGAGAATAACATAATTATTATTGTTTCAACAGTTTGTGACTTTAGTTTGTGAGGATTGTAATTAAGAACCCTCTCTACAATGCACACTAAAGAGTTCTGATTCTGTGGTATTTTGCTGCAGTAAGAGTGATCCGCCCTTAGATCTGAATTCAAATAAATTGAAATCAGTGTATTACTCAATCTTTGATCAATTCAAGCATTCTGAATATTTTTAAAGGCTGATATAAATTAACTGGACACTTTATTTGCATATATTTTATCCACTGAAGTAAACAACAGTGATTTCTGTTCATTGAAACTTTGCTGTCTTTGAACATTTTTCCTGGGGGTAAATGCCACGTACCATATATTGAAAACTCAATAGATAAGCTTAATATTTACACATGTATACAGTATAATTTTCTCATTGTCCAAAAAACATTTTGCATAGAGAAGATCCTTAAGAAAACAAAATGCTTGTAAGAGACGGATCAATCTCTTGCTTTTTAAAGTTTAATAACATCTAAGTCTCCCTATTGAATAAAAGGGATCAAGCACGAAATTTGAACCAATCAAATGAAGACAAGCAGATTAACGATTTTTCGCCATTGTTATGTTGTTTTTTAAACTGAATTAGGTGTACCTCAGTATTATTAACATCGGAGTATTCTTTACTTCAAACAGAAATTATAGACGAACGATGACGTCCTTCTTGCAGCATGGTAAATATGTTTGTAATTATATACAAATTGTCAAAATATATGAAAATACCATTTTTTTTATTTACATAAAATACAATAATTTTGGTTTTAATGGACTCTCTTACGGAGAATTTATTTATTGTTGTAACTAACAATTAAATCTTTAATCTAATGTTTTAATAATTAGGAAGTAACACTTTACTGTGATGAACTAAAAGCAAAATCAAATTCGTATCTTAATCACCAAATTTCAATAAATTTATCTATACTCTTTTATCCTATAACTGTATAACTAATTATGTGATAATATGATATTTTACCTGGTATTATAAATATAACACCTTTTGGACAAGGTATTTCATTGTAATGCAACATTTTTATGTTTGAATGACTTTAGTAGTCTGTCTTACTGATTATGTAAACCATGAATGGTTCGTATACATGATTTCTATAAGATATGGAATACCTTATCTTCTTGTAGGAGTTATGTAAGGTTATTTGATTTAGGGAGCTTTTTAAAATTTATGACAGATAGCTTTGAATCGTCAGAAGGCCTGAAGATAGATACATGCAAAACCTTCTCTGCAGTTGAATTGTGCCAAGTCCTGTTAATTGCTGGAAAACAAGCACTGCAATTCAGACTCCAAGACGAGATGGATGAATCGTTGGTAGATTTTATTTCTCGACACAAACACGAATTGTTTCATTTATTTATCCGACGGAATTGTTGCGGATGTGACTGTAACAATACCGTATCAACAAAGTACGCTTTTCCACGTATGTCATTGAAAGACTGGTCCAGTCTGTTCGTGCCAACAAGGCAAAAATGCATCTTTCGTGGAAAATGTTTTTGTCAGTTTGAACCTTCAAAGGGGATAAATCTGCATTCTCTAGGGATACGTATATTAACATGTATTTTGCTTAATATTTGTAACTTACCAGAAAAAGACAAACTTAAACTCCTCAATTATCAAGAAGATTTACGGACTATAACTGACGATTGGGAGAACTTTTATGACTGGAACACATATCTCGCAGCAGAAAGAATAGTCCTTGGAATGGTAACACGGGAAGATTACCTCACTCAAATAAAAAGAAAGATTCAAGATTTAAAAAGTAATCCACATCTTTATTATGACGAAGTAGAGAAATTCATGATGGATTTTCTGGAGGAAAAGAAAAGAGAAGCTGATAGAACGGAGCTGTTAATTTTTTCAATGGCTAGCAAACATAGATCCAGATATATCACTGTAAGTTTTGAATTCAATTTTCCGTTTATTTATAAAATCGCATGTTCTTTTTTATCCTAATAACAAGTCATTACTTTCACCTTTTTTTAACAATGAATTCCATAAAAATCAGTTATTTCATTCATTAGACTGTTTGTATTTGACTATTTATGTATCAAAAAAGAGGTATTTAAAAACAGCTTATAGAGACAAAAGGGTTACATTATCGATAACATGTAGTGCATATAAGAATGCAAACATTGGACAAAAGTGTCGAACCCAAATTTAAAAAGAAAACAACATGAAAAGGGGAGATCCATCCCCCAAGTCCCTGTGTTTCAAAGCATATGTCGTTGTAAGCGTAAAAATTGCAGACACCAGTATAGAAGTGATTAAACTTCTATAAAAGTTAATGTTTTTGGCATTATTGTTTTAAGATATTGATTTCCACGAAGTACAGGGAGGTTTATGCTTTTGCTTAAATTTTTATCAACCAATCAAATTGCGCATAAAGGATGTGTCATTGTGAACGTAAACATAACAGACGCTACTATCGAAGAAACTTAAGTCCTTTTTAGTTATTAGCTCAAGTGAGCTTTTCTGATCACATTTTTTCCGTCGTCCGTCTAGCTGTCTGTCTGTCCGTCTAGTTGTCTAGCTGTCCGTCCGTCTGTAAACTTTTAACATTTTCGAATTCTTCTCCAGAACCATTGGGCCAATTTCAACCAAACTTGCCACAAAGCATTCTTGGGTAAAGGGGATTCAAGTTTATTTAAATGAAGGGCCACGCCCTCTTTCAAAGGGAGATAATTAAGAATTAGTGAAAATTCGGTGGTATCTTTTAAAAATCTTCCTTTTAAGAACTACTGGGCTAAAAAAGTTGAAACTTATGTGAAACCTTCATTATATAGTGTAAATTCAAGTTTGTTCAAGTCATGACCCCCTGGGTGGGGCCACAATGAGGGATCAAAGTTTTACATAGGAATATATAGGGAAAAATCTTTAAAAATCTTCTTCTCAAGAACAACAAAGCCACGATTAGTCATATTGATACGGAATCATCCTCAGATAGTGTAGATTAAAGTTTGTTAAAATCATAACCCCCGGGGGTAGGGTGGGGCCATAATGGGGGGTCAAAGTTTTACAAAAGAACATTTATAGGAAATATCTTTAAAAATCTTCTTTTCAAGAACAACAAAGCCACAATTAGTCGGAAAAATCTTTACATATTTTCTTCTCAAGAACAACAAAGCCACAGTTATATTGATATGGAATCATCCTCAGGTAGTGTAGATTCAAGTTTGTACAAATCATGGGGGTAGGATATGCCTAGAACAGGCGATCAAAGCTTTATATATGATTGAATAGGAAAAGAAATCTGCTGACGAAGAACAGCAGAACCATATTGACTCATGTGAGCTTTGTGGCCCATGGACCTCTTGTTGTTTGAGTATTAATTGTTTTATAATATCATTTTCCACTTTTTGAACAGTTTTAAAACTGTTGAAATATAATTATGATAAGTTAATTATTACACAACACATTCTATGATGACTGGAGACGGGAACTATCGTGTCAAAATGTTGTTAAATTGCTGATTATTTAATATAACGGGTATTGACATTTGAATTCGGTCTACTTTTGACTATACAGACCTGGTCAGATATTCATTAATCTCGGTCTTTGGCCTAGGCCAAACAATACCTGACCAGCTCCTTGAGTATAGTAACAAGTAGGCCTCCTCAAAAGTCAATAATTATTATTATATGGCATTACACAACACATTATTATACGAGTGTTTATATTTGATGGAGAACTACACTGTATAGTGTGAAAAATGTTGATCAATTCCTGATTATATAATGAAAAATAATTGACTTTTGCGTTCAGTCCTCTCGTGACTTTACGGATCTTGTCAGGTATTGGTTGATAGAGACCGAAAGCCGAGGTTGACCAATACGTGACCAGGTCCGAATATTCACGAGTATACCTCATCAAAAGTAACACATCTTTATAATAAGAACCTAGAAGGTGAAAAAAGTTTAATACAGTTCAAATTTGCTTTGATTTGGAAAAAAAGATTGTGTGAATTACATCTATATTGATGGCGACAAGAAGACTGGTTAAGTTATTTTCAGTACATGATAAGGATATGTTTCATTCTAGTGTTTTATTTTAAAGCAATTCAAAAGAAAAATGAAGAGAAGCCAATCGTTACCATATGAATTATCAGAATTTACAAAAATAACTGAATCTGAGGAAACTGATGGCAAGTAACTGAGAAAATAACTTCTTCTTTACTTGTATTACATAATTTTTACCAATATTTCTAAAATACTTATTGATGTCAACTTACATTGATACATCTCCTGTAAAAATGAAATATAAGAATTTTGAAAACTGCATCAATTCAAACTTTAGAGATTAACTTTTCTTATCTTTGCAGAATACCCGAGATGTAGCACATTTTATCCGTTGGAGAGTTTTCCTCATTTTCAATACATGTACAGTTTAGTATATGACTGCTACTGCCACCGCAAGGAAGTCGATGGCATAAGTCCTGACGAATGGGAGATTTCCTTCTTGAAACCAGAACATGAACTTGTCATAAAAGTAGACTTCATTGGCACCCTTACACACGAAAGATTAAAACTGGTATCTAATAAAGGAGGTAATGTGTACAAAATTAAATGTGTATATTATTTTATCATTTTTGCCTAAACATTTTTCAATGTTATGAACTAAACGTAAAGAAAATTTAGAAACATTTATTCTTTTTGTATAATTCTTTGGTCATGAATAGGAAAAGAAGAAAGAAACGGTAAAACAGTTTGGTCCGAATCCCCACTTATCTGCTTTCAAGAGGATGCCAAGGTATTTATCTTTCAATAGTCTTCTTTATCTATCTATATATTTATAATGAAGGATTTAAGGCATAGTAAAATATTCTTGTTTAGATTCATGAAGGGGAAGCATGTCATACACTAATTGTGAAAAACGATCTTAAAGACGCAAAAAAAAATCAAGATGGATTCTTCTGTCCACGTGATCGAGTACGATGAAGAAAAAGTACGCAAAACAATCTCCATTTGCATAGAGAAAGGACTTGGTGATTACTTAGAGAGATCATTGAATAAGATCAAGAATTTACAACAAGATGCGAGAGAAGACTTGAGTGATTTTTGTCTGGAAATGAAATCTATCCTTAAACATGTTATGCTGGAAGAAAATATACTACAACATATACCCAAAGGAAACGACTATTGTGGTATACCACCAGAAATAAAAGATTTTCTTTTTAGGTAAAATATTATTTATGTCTACAAAAACAGCATTTCAAAAATGTAATATCTATATTTCATTTGAAGTTGTTCATGCTTCTCTTATTGATTTGGTTGGAGAATGGAATGTTACGAAATAGATGTGGAATAAAATTTAAAATTTCTCAGTGTCATGTGAAATTGAAATGAAATATGTATTTATAAATAATATATCCGATTTTGAAACCGTTAGAGCGAGCGCAGTTAAATTTTTGTAATAATTTATTTATAACTCTCTATACCTCTCATATATCGTTCTGCTTATGACGTTACACTTTTCAATAAACTCCTTTAGTCTGCATATACTGCGTATCGTTAAGTTCACATCTTTAAAAAAAAAACGATATTTATGACAGAATAGAAATATTCACTACTTTGCAGACTTCCCACGGAAATACCCGAGTCGTTTAAGTGGCGAAAGTATGACGTCATATATAAAGTCATGATTAGTAAGGATGGAAACAATTTTTTATTGCATGGGAAATGCATTAAATCCTTGTTTGTAAATATTTTTGTCATCAAGAAAGTTGTTGCTATGCTCATGCCATCGTGTTGCTATGCACCGCAAAGGGCTATTGGAAGTTTGGAATTTTTTTCACGGAACCCATAAAATTGCTTTGAACATTGTGTAGATTTCAACCCGAATTTTCTCCATTCATAAACGTTGTCTATAGAAATCGCTACGCAAGCGGCGCTCGCTTTTATTCAATACTTACTTTCATTGATTAGAAATCCAATTTTTTTCCAGAGAACCTTACGTCAATTCGTTTGGTATTTGGGAAGACAAGACCTTTAAGGTATTTATGGATGAAATCGTTGATGCTGATATTCTCATAGAAAAACTAAAAAGCAAAAATAATACCTTTTTCGAAACATTTGAAATACAAGTAGAGAAAAAGAAATTTACTTCGAAGATTGCAACACAGTTAAAACAAGGTGGAGAGCTACACAAACACACTCCTTCCGATAGGGGTGATGAACATGTTGAGAGTGGTACATTAGGTGGATTTGTCAAAGATACTAGAACCTCTGGAAACTGTTTCGAAGCATATGCTTTGACATGTAACCATTTATATCCCAAAACGAATGATTCCGCTTTTGCAACAATAGATGGAGAAGAAAGAGAAATTGGAAAATGTATTTTCACCACCCGTGAAAATTCTTGTGATTTTGCAGTTGTCGAAATCAATAAAGATCTTATTAATAAATGCGATTTAAAATTTAGACGGGACGATGAAATGGCGTGCAACGCAGAAGTTTTGGACTGTATTCCGATACATGTTGATATCGTACATAAAAACGGCTCTAAAACAAATTGGACGCGTGGTCGTATTGCCAGTCGTGAGTTCTGTGATGTTGTTAATGATAGGGAAGTCTTTGTTGTCAAGGGATCATTAGGCCGTCCTTTCTCTGCTCCTGGTGACAGTGGCGCGATAGTATTTGCAAGAGACAATTCAGTGGCTCAAAACACAGTTGATATTTTGGGAATGGTCTATTCAAATTATCCTGAAATCCGTGACGATTTTGGCGACCCAGAATATGAGCAGGAAAAGACATTGGATGATGCACGATGCTTGTACGAAAATGCTAAAAAGGAAATTGACGAGAGTTTAAGTGAGGCTGAAAGTAGATTTAAAGAGGTAAACAAATCTAAAAGTAAAAAATTACAACTAGAAAAATCAAAATCTAGAGAAAATCCGGAAAATTACAGTTTATGTTTTCGCATGAATAATGCCTTTGAGCTTTTAAAACAAGGAAAAAAATTAGTGGTTGGCTTTGAAAAAGTAGTACAATCATCAACTGAGACCGTTGATTCATAAACTAAATTTTATATTATTCTTTGAAAAACTTTTGTATATAAATGAATGTCATATCTATTAAAATATCAAAATTTGGAACTGATGTGTCAGACTGTGGTCTCTTTATGTTTAGAAGGATATATCGAATCAATGTGTAAATGAAAATGAATATTGTTAATAAAATATTTAAAATGAAAAAATGTCAAATTGAATGTTGTTGAAAGAGAATTCTCTTTTTCAAGTGGAAGGTTTTACTAAATTCTGCTTCTTAGAATGCAAATACTGATATGCTTACAGATTGAACACAACAGACTATTGCATACCTAGTCTCCGAAGACCACCTAGATATATCTATGATAAATTTTATCATGTTCTTGATATTTAATTCAGAATATTTGAACGAAGACGTACAGACTTTGTACAGCAAGAAAGTTTTGCATATCTCCTCATTGACATTTATGATCGATTTTTTGATACTTTCATTTCCTATACAATTTGCTAATGATCTTACATGGGAATATTCGAGAACTTACAGCAGTGACCTCTGATACTCTGCAGAATTTGTAACACAAAATAATGTCTCCATTTAAGCATAATTTGACACTTACAATCCATTATTAATAATTTTCAGGAATTCACTACTGTTCTCATCCTTTTATTTAATTTTTTACAAAGCTAACTCTCTAGTACTAATATACTAGAAATAATAACGTAAGTATAGATACTTAAGCAGAAGGAAGTTAAATACGTACAGATGTTCTCTTATATTCAGAGAATCACTCCTACAAGAGTCTTTGTTTTCGATACAATACAACAAGGAATGTTCACGTTACAATCATGTATGCTTAGGGGATTCTTAAATACATAGAGTCAATGTTCAATGTTTTGTAGTTGGATATGGAATTTATTTCACACGTTGGACGGATTTTTAACTCACCTGAGCCAAAGGCTAGAGTGAGCTTTTCTGATCAAAGAGTGTCTGTTGTATGTAAACTTTTTTACATTTTCGACGTCTTCTCAAGAACCACTGAGCTAATTTCAACCGATCTTGTCACAAAACATCCTTAGGTGAAGGAGATTCAAGGTTTTTCACAGGAAGTGCCACTCCCTCTTTCAAGGGGAGATAATTAAGAATTCGTGAAAATTTTGTGACATCTTTTAAAAATCTTCTTCTCAAGAACCACTGGGCAAGAAAAGAGGAAAGCTATGTGAAAGCGTCATTACATACTCTAGATTCAAGTTTGTTCATATCATAACCCCCGGGGTGCCCTAAGTGCCCAATGCCCTAAGTGCCGAGTATAGGTCTAAATTTGCAATCTTCCACCGGCAAATAGTGGCGTCTCAATATAACTTAAACATTCTCGAAAGGACAATAAACACACAAACAATTCAAATCCTAGTTCAATACCGATCCTAATTCATTTACATGTATGTTCACCGTAATGCATTCAAAGTTTAGTTTGCCAGTAAATGAATATCATACTGTTTGAAAATACAATGTCATGAGATAACAAGCATTCTGAGGGTATTGCATTAGCAATACTAGTCCCCTACCGGCAAGTGTAATCTGGTTAAAAATTGAAAAATGCCACAATTCCTTCAAAAATCAATGAAGCGGAACGAAATATAAACTTGATCTATAACTCATCAAGGTAAAGTCATATACAACGTCCGTCTGTCACTGCGTCTGTCTGTCAGTCTGTCCCACTTGGTTTTCCGCACTTTTTTACTAAATGCTTGCAGATATTGAGCTGATTTTTGGTATGTGAGTCTACCTTGATGAGTTATAGATCAAGTTTGCATTATGATATGATATTTGATATGATATAAATGATATTTGAGGGAATTACTGCATTTTTAATTTTCCATGAGAACTAGATTACACTTGCCGGTAAGGGACTAGTATTGCTAATGCAATACTCTCAGAATGCTTGTTTTAAATATGTTTTTTTGTATGTCAGCAATATGACTTATTTTGAAAACACACCAGAGATCAATTTCAATGTGTGACAAACGAACGGACAGACAAACAGGCAGATGCTGAAGAAATGAGTGGAAATTTTTTTAAGTCACGAAAAAAAAATCCTTGTCTCTAATTAGGTAAAATATTATCCCTTTTCATAGAAATCAAGTCCTCAACTTGTGAGAGCGTCTGCTCTAGAGTCGCGAAGTAAGGAGTTTATCCTCACGACGCGGGTTCGAATCCCAGTGTGGGACGTGAAGACCGGTCCTTCGGATGAGACCGTATAAACCGAGGTCCCGTCTCGCAGCAGGTGCTGGCACGAAAAAGATCCCTCACTGCTCAATGGCCGTAAGTGACGAGTATAGGACACAATTTACAGCTCTCCACCGGCAAGTGGTGGCGTCTCCATATGAGTGGAAAATTCTCAAGAGGGACGTTAAACAACATACAAACAAACAAAAAACCTATCAATTTTGTAGTTTGCATTTCTTTTGGTTCACCTGTTTGTTTGTGTTGCATACTGCTGATGCCTTATTTTTACGCAAGTACTTAATATCGCAAGATGACACGAATACGTCAAAATGTTGATGCTGGACTTTTACATGTAAATCAGCGATATGAAAATGAATGCGAGTGGTTTTATTTAGCAAGTGGTTTATCGAAAATAATAAATTTCTCGTGCTTAAGAAAAAATTTGCTACTGGGGAGAAAAACCGTTGAACCAAAACTCCAATGCCTGGTAAATTTTCCTGAATTTGTTATGCTCGGAAGACCGGTTCCTCTGTTGTAACAATTACTGATATAAACATTATGCTGTCAGTAACAGGGCCTACCTAGCTGCAGAACTGTTGCGTTATAATTAATATTTTAAGGAGAATTTCTCCACTTTCCAGCATTGGTCAATCAACTACCTTTCACACTCCAATTCTAAACAATTTTCTAAACCAACCTGTATATTTTATCCACTTCCTTACCCTTTACAATCGTCTCTACAGACCAATATACTCGCTTGCTTTGAATTTTCTGCCATCCGACAAAAAATTCAAAACAAACGAGTCAATTGGTCTGTAGAAACATCTATAAATGGTTAGAGGAGGTGGATAAAATATACAATTTATTTAAAAATTTGTCTAGACATGGGGAGTGAAAGGCAGGTAACTAAAGTTGATTGACCAATGCTGGAAAGTAGAAAGGTTCTCCCCAACCGTGCGCAGAAAAATCTTGCGCCGTAAATTGCACCATATTTGCATTGGGATCTGTAGCGTTATGGTCAAAGAATAATATATAAAACCATAAAGCTACAATTCTGCAGCTAGAGTCACATAGCTTATAAGGCGCGGGTGTTCTTAGAATCATAGGGTAGCATTTTACAGAAATTTAACTATAATAAAGAATGTATCCAAAAACAGTTAATTACTTTTTTCATGAATGAACAGATTACAAACCCTATTTGTTAGTTCACCTAAGCCAAAACTTCTTATCAGTATTTTCCGTTAACCTGCCTGCTACATGTAGACTGTTAAATTTCCATATTTTGGATTTTATTTCTCCAGGAACAATGTTAGTTTGCTGATGTTCATTATATCCATGAAGTATTGATTCAAAGGATGACTGCACTTAATACCTGTTTTTGGGTCTTTTTCAGTTGCTTCTGTTGCTGTTATATCTAAACCTTATTTCACTTTTGTATGTTTATGAAAGAATCCTGTCAATTTGGAACCAAATTTAAATCTGAAAATGATTTTAGACTGTGATACAATAAAATGATTCAATGTTTTTTGTCCTTACTACTTTCCAGATATAGTGAATTTACACTTACCTGCCCTTGATTGAACATTAGATATGCATGAGAGGTGGAGCTAACATTGTAAAAATGGGTCTAAAATTAGACTTGATAAATAACAAAGACATTGTTTGGAAAAAAAACGTGATCACTCTTTCCAATCTCCCTCTCCATTCTGTATGGCACAAATACACTTCTGACAAAGGTTTCAAAACGAAATTAACAATTTGAGCACGTCAATGTAATTAAAGCAGATTTTATATCAATGCCAGATGACTTAACGTGTTCGAACACAATGCACTAGTTAGCACAAAACATGCTACCTTACAAGTCACATGACGGAATTTAGTATTCACAAAGAAATCACGTGGTGAATTATAATATTCAACATGTCACGATCCTTGGTTACAACACAGAGAGCGAATGTAAAAAGAAGCAGTTTTTTCTCGTTTTAACCATGAGCGCATGTTTGTCTATTAATCTCCTTTTGACACATTATTATTTATGCAAATATACAACTACTGTTAAACGTAGAACAATAGACAAACATGCGCTGACTATGTATAAAGTCGGTAAAAAAGTGGGCGTCCTCATTATCGAACGGAGATTCAAGAAATTGTGATGACCCCTGCCTTTGAAAACAGATTCGAACTTCGTAAATACACACTTTTATTAAACGTAATTACATAAAGTTGTGGATTGGATGTTGACCATTCTTGCAATGAAAAGAAAGATGCTTGTTTTGAAAGTTTATTTTGTCGCAAATTTCGCATGTCCTTAAGTGCAGTCATCCTTTAGCTCAGTACTTATCCCTTGAAGACAGGTGAGATACCAATATCGGGTCAGAAGTATTTAATGAATATAGAGATTAAAAAAATCTGTTTAAAATTACAAAAGGGCCAAAGTAAAGTAGGTCAGCGTTCTATCCCATGGGTCCCTGTTAATACTAGTACATTTGTAAATGGAATTTAAACTTTCTATAATTGCCGTCACGTTAGCTCAGTCGGTAGAGCGTTCGCTCCGTGATCGGAAGATCATTTGATCGAATCACGGCCGCAACTGACCAAAGTAGATAAAAATAGGTAGCAACTGTTCCTTCAACAAGAGCTCGTCACTTTGAAGTGAAAGTTACGGGTCCCTCAGATTATACCTTAAAAATTGAGGTCCCGAGTCACGGTAGGCGTTGGCATAATAAAGAACTGCTCAATTGCCCTGAGTGTCGAGTATAGGTGTAAATTGAAAGCTCTTCACCGGTATATGGTGATGTCTCTATAT